AACTGTCACACAGATATCACATACCAGGGTACTGTCCTTTTTGACTAATGATATTACATTTTTATATATATATACATTATTGTAATATTTACATTGATGGCACTAAAACAAGTATATCACATATCTTAAACACAATATAGCTAATTCACATACTGAAACATTGTTGACCTCCAAAACACTTCAAAAAATCTTGACCAACAACTATATATATATTTACATCAACAACCTTGGCCTTCGTATAATTACACAATATACATAAATAGTAAGCTTAGCTTTTCCTCATATATCTGTAATTATGACATTTTTGTCTATATATAAACAACCTTGACCTTACAGCTTTGACATCTTCAATAACAATGACCACATTATTAGCCATTACTTTTGTTTGAATCAACCTTGAACTTTAACAACATAAGAATTTTGACCTTTCATTACTTATAAATAAGCCTTGACCTTTTTTTACATCATCCACCTTGAACTTTAACATCATCAATTACCTTGTACTTTCATTATGCAATATATGATACACTGTATTATATCAACCTTGACCTTTAACATTAACAACCTTGACCTTCACATTATCACAACAATACTCCCGTGTCACACATACACACACATATACAAAAATGTATAAATATATTACTGATTATTATTTTATATACTGTATATGTGTACATGGATAAAACGAAGAAATATTGAAAGAAATTAACAATGGCACAAAAATTAAATGAAACAGATAGCACCTTTGAATTCCTTTCCGTAGAGGTAATACATACAAAATACTTTATGTACGGTCAGTTAGACTCTATACCAGCCCCTAAATTTTTATGAAAAATTTGTCAACTTCATCTAGCTACTAGCTTATTTCCCCCTAGTTTATAATCAGAATCAGACATCCAAGTGATCAAAATCATAATATTAGAGTGTTTTTTTTCTCTAAATAATTCAATATTCTAGACACGGGGTCAGTCTAACAGTCAGTTGTAAGTCACTGTTTCCCTATTTATTTTAAGATTTCAGGTTTAAGGATTCCTGCCCCGGCCACTACATGCAAATTAAAACACAAAAGAATTCAATTGGATTTTGTTTTCACATACCTATACATTTAATATTATTAACCTACCCTTAATTTAATTTTTGGTCTATCTGTTATACAAAATGGCAGTGGTACAATCATTGATGGGTCAGCTTAGTTGGTTAGAGGGACAGTAATATTCATTGGAAGACCACAGTGCCTATATTCATGAAACTGTTCTCTTGCTCAAGCATGGATTGTGTGCTCAAATCAACTTTCTTGTACCTCACTTAACTCATTCACCCCTGAAATTTCATAATGAGCTATTCCATTCTGTGTCTTCAGGGGTGAATGAGTTAAATCATGACAAACGATCAAAAAGTCAAATGGAATCACTGAAAACAATAGTTGGCTTTAAATCTCTTCTTGCAAAAAAATACAAAATAAGATTTTATTATGAATTTATAAACGGAACAAGAAATTAGACTTGAGCAAAAAATCCATGCCTGTGCATGAGAACTGTTTCATGAATATGTGACCTGGGGTCAAATTCCTGTCTGGCAGCATTACAGTTATACCGTGACTCGATCAGAACAAAGTTATTTATTTGTTATTTATTTCATCTTTTATTATTGTTTTCATGAAAGTTTCACAAGGTATGGTATAAATAGCTTTGATGATGTTTCTACAGCTTTGATAGCTATAGTTATGCCCGAAAAAGAGTCTGAACTCATTCACCCTTGAAGCCACATTTGAACTCTTCCAAATTAAAGGTTTGAATAGTACATTATAAAATTTTAGGGGTGAATGAGTTAATGTATTAATATTAGTTTTTGACAGTGGTATGGTGATCTTTAAGTAAGGAATATATTATTGAACTTACAATTTACATACACAATTCTGATTGTATTTGACTTAGATACATGTACATGAAGCTGAGTCATATGCATCTCAGGCAAACTCAAGAAACTTACATTAAGGATGCAAGCTGCATTACACATTAATTTCCCGAGGTGCTTTGTGACTTATCTCCCTTATTCATCAAATAATTTCCTATTACAACTGACTATTTATCAAAAGTGCAAAGCAACATGGGTTTGGCTCTCCAAAATCAAAATGAATGTAACTTGGTATATGTTATGTTGGGTTATAATTAGCTATTGAAGCAATATGAAAATTAAACTGACATATATGATGATGTTTGTGGGAATTACCGAAAACTGTTCACAAAATCAATCACCTGATTGAAGTACTTGAACAACACTAAAATTGTGACGGTAAATCTTGTGTCTACACGAGATCCACATAATGAAGAATTACGAAATGGCACCAAACTATTTGAAAGATACTTCAGTTTTTTAAAGCTCCCCTTTAAATTATATGACTGTTTTATGTGTGATTTTTAAAAAAATCTTTCTAAGAAGAGATTTTGATGTCACATAAACATTTATCCTGGAGCCATATTTTGAAATGTCTTTCTTTTTTTTAATATTAACCCTTTCACCCCTATGTAACTTCAGTAGACTCTGCCATGCATTGATATGGACGAGTCCATTATGGTCTACAGTGGTGAAAGGGTTAAAACTACAGAAAAACTATTCAATCCTTTCCAGTCATCATTTCTTCCACATAGTTGTAGTTCAAAAACAGTTCACCCAAAATTTGCTTTTGTAATCCTGCAAAGCCTCAGCTATATTGCTTATTAGGTTAGGTAAGAATAATGAAACTCAGTTCATTGACACTTTCAAAAACTAAAAATCAAATCAAATAAATAAAAGTAGTACTGTATAAGCTTATGTTCACTACAATCAATTTTTAAAAGTCTTTTCACAAGAAAAATACTATAACAAATAGTTCATTTTTTTTTCAAGTTTTGCTACTTAACTCATTCATCCCTAAAATTTCATAATCAACTGTTCCAACCTTTGAACTAGAAGAGTTTAAATGTGTCTTTAGGGGTGAATGAGTTAAAGCTGGCACATATACAGAAATATACTGAAGTATACTACCTGTATAGTATAATATCCATTTCTGCCCAGAAATCCCCATTTTCTGTTAACATTAATTTTCTTGACACCTATTAGCTCTTTTTCAATTTTCTGACTTAATAAGCAGAAAAAAAAATGATATTATGGAATTGTTATTTTTAGAAATTAGAGTGTCAGTCTTAATGTGGTTCAAATAGGCATTTTTGACATATACATGTATTGATGAAATATTAATATTCCCCATTATACATGCATTTTGAATACAAACAGTTTCTACACAATACAGGGCATTCAACATGTATTGTTCATTTGGCTATCTCATATGACAACGTACTATTGGTCCATTGTTTTATATTGTCGAGCATTCTATACATGTTAAGAGTATAAATTACCTCTGATAATGTGTGCAGTTAGGCCCTTATTATCTCCCCTGAAATTATCACAGTATGCATTTGGTTTTTTTGACATTGTGATACCTTCACATCAATGAGTGATACAAGATTTGATTAATCAACCATTTTGATTCATAGCGTTATATTACATTGTATAAGATTGAATAACTTTAATTATATAATATTTCTAATCATATATATGTAGCACAGACATGTAAGTTGTATCACAACATCTTTCCATCTTGTTACTATGGTGATATTGAATACTTCCTGTTTGTTTCCATGGAAACATCACAACATACCTCTGGAATCCGGTTAGTTACTAATATGATAGCATATACTCAATATGTTGTCTTGGTGACCATCACAACAGACCTTTTTGTCTCCATGGTTATAAACATTTCCTATGTGCCCCCATTGAAACACATCAGACATAACATATATTACTTTCTATTTGTTGCCATGGTAATATGACAACACTCCTCATGTTTGTTGCTAAGGTGACTTAATCAAAACATTTTTCCTGTTGTAACATCTCAACATAATTCCCATTTTTTTGTTAACATTATAACATATCATTTGGGCTGTTTGTGGCCATGGAATAATTAACAGGATTCTTCAAGTTTATTAACAACATAGTACTTCCTGTTTGTTACCATAGTTACATCACAGTAAATATTGTATTTCTTTCTCAACTTGCTCTCATGATAATAATTAACATCACTCTTCATATTTGTAGCGATGGTTGTTATCACACAATCACATCTCCTAAATGTCTCTCAAGGTAACATCAAAACACACTTCCTGCAAGTTTCTATGGTAATATCACTACATACTTCCTGTTAGTTTCCATGGTAACATCACAACACACTTCCTGCAAGTTTCTATGGTCGCATCACAACATACCTCCTGTTAGTTTCCATGGTTACCATCACAAAATCACATCTCATTTATGTCTCCATGTTAAGCATACATCTCAACACACTTCCTGTTAGTTTCCATGGTAACATCACAACACACTTCCTGTTAGTTTCCATGGTAAAAAATACAGCATATACTTCTTATTTGTTGCCATATTAATACAATGGGTCAGGTGGGCTTAATACAGAATATTTAGTCACTTATCACATAACAATATACCCTATCATTTCTGGCTCTTTTCTTCATTAGTCTGTATCTTTGGTAATTAATAGGCATTAATTGCCAGGACATTATAGAAATTATATCTCATAAATATATTTGCAACACGAATCAATGTAATACAAATGATTTAAGTATCTATTATATATATCACCCAAATGGCATCCTCCATACCCAGGGGTTATGCTCACTTTCACTCTCTGCCCCCCCCCCCCCCCCCCCCCCCCCCCTGGAATATATGTAATAGCAAAATTGAAGGCTCAGTGTTTGCCACCTTGTAGATGGGAAAAGAAAACTAGTTAGATCCTTTGATATACATCAAAAGAATCACACAGTCACCTAACGGTAAAAATTAACAAGCTTTGAAGTCGCGCGTCTCTCCTTTGTAATCTAGGACAGGTATCAGCCTAGCGATTGGTCAGGTTTTTTTACCCGAGACCAGTCAAACAGCTATCTTCATGCCTTCAATTTTGCTATGACATATTTCAGGGGTGTATAGAGCGAAAGTGAGCGTAACCCCTGGATATCGAGGATGTCCCAATGAAAGCTCTGAATAAATTGATCAATAATTCCAGTGTTTTTTTCCACTATGACATCACAACTTTGTAACCTCTGACCGCTCATTGATATGGACAGGCCCAGAATGTAGGAATGGTATCTTAATGCTGTGATCAAAATTTTCACTTGGAAAAACATCGCCTGACATCTGCCGTTTCTGGGGTGTAATACTAGCTGTTGTTCCCAGAGTGGACTGGTCTGTTTGACGTGTACTTATTTTCTCAAGTGAGTTTAATGATAATTGTTTGTGTCTGACCTCCGACCTTGAACTATTAACCTCTGACCTGTCACCTTCATGCCAGCCATGTTCCTGAAGTGACCTAAATGATCCACACCTTTGTTCCTCTAACAGCTGTTTTGATTCTCTAGCACAGCCAGTTACATTTGGCAATTTGAGCTTGTTAGTATGTTTCAAATTTTGTTCACTTTTTCTTGATGACTTCCATTCCAGGGTTTCCATATGACCTTCAGATTTTATTTTTCTGATGTCATGTCTGAGTAAGGGATTGAAAGTAATGTCAATTGGGCCAAACCTGTCCATCGACAGATCGTCGAAATCCTCGTGGGCTTGATCTTCATAAAGAGCACCTATATTTCCATCAGCTGGCCTGATTGTCCCTGTGGGGCCATTCTCCTGACTTCTAACACCGTTTCTAACACTGCCCAAACTGTCAGAGTTGACACTATGTCCATCACAAGTAAACCTAAGACCAGAAACACTGTCACTTTCAGAATCTGCATAGGACGTGTCGCAGTAACTGTCTGCAAGGCAAAGCGTCTCGCTCAATAGTGATCCGGTGTCCTCCTCACCGTAAACTAAAACATTGTCAGAAAACCTGTCCCCGCTGATCAGGATCTTGGGTAAGCTTTGTTGGGCCTTGGGGAAGTTACTGATATTCTGGGAGGATAAAACGCTGTAGCGATCCCAACTACTGCTAGACGCTGTACTGTACACACTCTGTCTGATGTTGTCATAGCGACTGATGCCCCTGCTCTCACAGTAACCTGAAACATACACGTGACCTTATTAACAAGTGTGTATCATTGTAATCATTGCCATCATCATCATTATCATCATCATCATCATTATAATCGCCATTAACATCATAAACATCATCATCACCATTATAAATGCATCATCATCATCATCATCAACATCATGAAGATACCTGGTAAATTAACTGTAAACCGTAAAATTGTGAGATATTTATATGATAAATTTCCGGAAGAAAATCATTTGATATGTCGTATAATTTATTTAGCATCAAGGGACATTTATATTTAAATATTTATCTGCAAATTCAGAATCCTCACAAATGAAAGCACTATCATAAAATTAAAAACTCTCAAATAACAAGTGTTTTATAATATTGATATGGAAAATTGAATATCGTTCAATTATCAAGTCCTGGAATGTGTTATCCTGTACAAAGATAAAGAAGTGAAACAAACTTGAAGGCCTTTGTCTTATCTGAGGCAGAGATGTTCCTCTTTCTCCTGCACGTAAACAGTAGATACCTGGATAGTTTTTTAAACTTACTGTCTAATATTTCTCTTTCCTGAAACTCAAGATCCCGTAACTCTTTCATCTTGCTGGTTACGACTCTCTGCAAGGAAAGAAACATTATCATCATGATAAGTGTGCAAATAATTCCTGATATAAGATTTTTTTTTTTCAATTGAATTCAAAGGGTTTGATGAAATTCTAACAATTTAAAATTTGAATGATATGTGATATATCCTTTAATTTTTTATCAATTTCATTTCAATATGCCAAAATGAAAGTGAATTTGAACGGATACTCCATAACATATTATGGTATTTAAGTGTATGCATGGTCTACCTTGTGTAATAGAGGTTTGTATTTTTTCAAAGCCTCCGCTAGGAGTCGAACCTGGGACCTCTGGCTTACCAGTCTTACGCTCTGCCGAATGAGCTATAGAGAATTCTCCCTAGCCGAGTCAGAAGGAGGCGGCTAGTATTTTACCAGGGTGACATACTCCCCTTCCAGGAAACAGGAAAGACCTCGTTCCAAGTTTTTCAGGGGTCATAGCGATTCCTTGCAAGTATCGCTGAAAATTTTGTTAAATCTCCCAGTTCCCTACATGGGCGCCAATGTAACAGAGGTCATTATTTTCTTGATAGATCCGGGATCCGTCAGGAGTCCAAACCCCAGACTTCTGGCTTACCAGTCTTATGCTCTACCGAATGAGCTAAAGAGAAATTTCTCTCTAGCCGAGCCGGTAGGAAGCGTTACCAGGTTAACACTTGGTTTTTGTGTTTGCAAATATTTTCTTCATATAAATATTTGCTGGTAATTTTTTGTACCTTCGTGTTAAAACAGTCATATATTTGCGTACAAAATATTGTGTTTCCAAAGCAACCGCAACTGCTGTTGTAGTAATATTGCAAAACATTAAGGTGACAAATTTACAGCATTACAGTATGGTGGTAATACAAAAACAGTGTTATGCCATAAGTTATGTAAGATATTTACCCCATAAAGGTAGACTTATATTTACTCCCCCCCCCCCAAGAAGTGTAAGAAGAATAAGTTTCTTTCCCGAGTGTTATTAAGTAAGGTTTAAGTAAAGGGACATAAATCCGTAAAAGGGGAGGTAATGCCAATTCAATTGTTTTATTTAAGTCCCCTTTATGTCAAGGCTCTGTGCAACCAGTATTATCTAAATCATAGAGTACTTTGGGAGGATGTGCAAACAATTATTTCAAACTAATTAGGGGTAAAACTCCTTATAAAGGGGAGGAAATGTCGAATTACATATTTCATCAAAATCCCTCAATGTAAGAATAAAGTATAATTGAAATATGTGCAATGCTTTTGATGGAGAAGTGTGTCTGAATAATAATCTTTTTTCAACAAATTAGCGTAACTCCATAAACTGGGGACAAGGGAGGTAAGTATAATATATACACATTCCCTCCATGTAAGGTGTAAGGGTTCTGTGTACCGAGTATCACTGAATATGGTGCGCAGTACTTTAGGGTGTAGAGTGAATGACGCTGTGTCTATAGACAGAGGGTTAGACAGGCAGACAGACAGACAGACTTAAGTATACCCCCTGCCCCACCTTGTTGTGGGTGGATAATAAAGACATAAGAGCGGCAGGTAAGAAGAATAAACATTGTTGTTATTATACCTTTAAGTGTATGACATAAGTGTATGTCACATACCTTGAGGCATATGACTTAAGTGTATGTCACTTACTTTGAGGCATATGACATAAGTGTATGTCACATACCTTGAGACATATGACTTAAGTGTATGTCACTTACTTTGAGGCATATGACTTCAGTGTAGGTCACTGACCTTGAGGCGTATGACTTAAGTAGATATGCCACTTACCTTGAGGCATATGACTAAGTGTAAGTCACTTACCTTGAGGCATATGACTTCAGTGTGTGTCACCTACCTTGAGGCGTATGACTTAAGTGTAGGTCACTTACCTTGAGGTGTATGACTTAAGAGCATGGCACTTACCTTGAGGGATATGACTTCAGTATATGTCACTTACCTTGAGGCATATGACTTAAGGGTGTGTCACCTACCTTGAGGCGTATGACTTAAGTGTAGGTCACTTACCTTGAGGTGTATGACTTAAGAGTATGTCACTTACCTTGAGGGATATGACTTCAGTATATGTCACTTACCTTGAGGCATATGACTAAGTATATGTAACTTACCTTGAGGGGTATGACTTAAGAGTATGTCACCTAACTTGAGACGACGCATGACTTACTGTAAGTGTATGTTACCTACCTTGAGGGGTCTGACATAAGTGTATGTCACTTACCTTGAGGCGTATGATGCGGTCATACAGCTCCACCTTGTGGACACAGTCCTCAAACAGTACCACAAGCCTACAGAAACAACAGTCATGTATATATAGCATGTTATTTGTAAGCTAGGGGTCAAAATTCATACTGTTAATAAAAGTTAGGGGTCAAGGGTCATAAATGTAGCTGGGATCAGACTTTATACAGTTTATGTTATAAACCAATTTAATCATTTTGACATGTTTATTTAAATTGGCTTTCTGAACAAGAGACCCCAAAGGGATCTTATAGTGCCCACCATCGTAAGATCTTTATCAAAGAAGTTCCATGTAAATTTGATCTTTTCCCTTCATTTCTCTTCTTTTCTCACTGATCTGTTGATTTATAGTCTTGTCAATAGTAAATGTATCGTGTCGTAACTTTTGATTAAAAAATTCCATACTGCTGGGTTTGAGCCTGTTTTTTCAAAGTGAGGTCATTGTTTATTGTTTACTTCTTGAGAAAAGAAAAAAAAATGCCTCTAGGCCATCTTGTTTTTCTGATCAGTCCCAAAATGAAACATGTACATTTATGGACCAAGGGAAACCAAGATATGAAATTTGAGAAAGAGCTGTTAGTAAGAAACTGTGATAAGATTAAACTTGAATTGTTACAATCTAAGATGGCTGCCTGGTGGCCATCTTGTCTTTTAAATCAGTCCCGAAATGAAACATTTTAAACTATGGACTAAGGGAAATCAATATATAAAATTTGAGTACTTTTTGTGTTAAGTACTCATTGAGAATATCAATATCAATATTTTTTTAAGGATGGACAGATAGTTGGATGGACTTGATAGATGATGGGCAACTTAATGCTCTCACCGTCTGATGAGGGTGGACTGAAAAAAAACACAACTGTAGAAGATACAGTAATTTTATTATATCAATTTTGATTCTTTTCTTTCTTAAAGCTAAATTAATATGAATATATTTTACCACACAAGTTACATGTAATAGAAATTTTAGCATAAGTAAACCCTAAGGGGGTGTTCTTGTGGTGCAGTGGATAGCGCACTTGTCTTTCACCAAGGCAGCCAGGGTTTGATTCCCCGATCGGACATGAAAAGATATGGGGTCACCTGCCTGACCACGTGGGTTTTCTCTGGGTACTCCAGTTTGCTCCCACAATAAGTGCACTAAAATCCGGGCCAAAAAGAGTGGTTAATATTAGTTGAAATAACTTTTTTCATATTTGTTGTAAAATAAATAAAGTTTACATATTTATATATATATATAACCCTTGACAACAGGGTGCATCAGCTGCACACCTGACTGTTAACTGACCATTACCTGAGTTGATCGCCGCTAAGTTTGATGGCCGACACCAGATCTGCGTGCGTGGCCTCCTCCATGCTACGGCCGTTCACCGACAGAATTACATCTCCTATAAATAAGTGAAACCATTAACTTCAATGGATTTCTTTTGAAATATATACATAGATATGAAATCTCTAAACACTGTAATAAATGAACTAAGATTATACTTGCTCTGTATTTGTATTAGGCAACTAAGCATTTGACCTTTGACCTTAAACAGTTACCTTGACCTTGGTAAAGATGCATGGTTCCAATTTGTGGTACATCACATTAGTCAAAAAGAGGAATAATGTACATTGTATTTTCAATAGTGTCAATTTCACTAAAGAGAGAATATTTATGTGAACGAGCTAAGGACATGAAAAGCAGTGTGTTCAAACAGGACTGGTTTATACTCTATAACAGACCTCTCCATGTTTTCCCAGCAAACATTTGCTCAGTTTTACAGCCGAATACAGGCTGTTTCTCCTACCTAAAAAGTGCCTTATTTTCCCTAAATGACAAAACAAGTAGGAATATATTCCCAATTTCAACAAGAGGCCCAATGGGCCTGCATCGCTCACCTGGTATAAATCTCACACTTCTTAACTTGAAAGTGATCTAAAATAAAGCTACAGGCAAATTAAGTCATTATGTTGAACAAATTTTATAGCCTTTCATCACAGGATGCAACTTGCAAAGTATCAACACCCATGGTTATTCAGAAGAGGTTGTTTAAAGATTTTAAACAAATTTGACCCCTGTGACCTTGAATATAAGTCAAAGTCATTCACTTTAACAAACATAGTAGTCCTTGATCCCAGCATGCTACTGACTAAATATCAACATCCTGAGCCTTTTGGTTATTCAGAACAAGTTGTTTAAATATTTTGAACATATTTGCTCCTTGTGACCCTGAATATGATTCAAGGTCATCCATTTAAACAAACTTGGTAGCCCTTGATCCTAGTATGCTACTGACTAAATATCATCACCCTGGGCATTTTGGTTATTCTTCAGAAGTTGTTTAATGTTTTTCACATATTTGACTCCTGTGACCTTGAATATAGGTGAAGGTCATTCATTTGAACAAACTTGATAGCCCTTTACCCCAGCATGCTACTGGCCAAATATCATCACCCTGGTCATTTTGGTTATTCAGAAGTTGTTTAAAGTTTTTTTAAGACAATAGACCCTTGTGACCTTGAATATAATTGAAGGTCGTTCATTTGAACAAACTCAGTAGCCCTTCACCCAAGCATGCTACTGGCCAAATATCATCTTCCTGGGCAGTTTGGTTATCGAGAAGAAGATGTTTAAAGTTTTTAACATATTTGACCCCAGTGACCTTGAAAATGGGTGAAGGTCATTGATTTTAACAAACTTTGTAGCCCTTCATCCCAGTTTGCTTCTGGCCAAATATCATCACCCTCGGCCGTTCGGTTATTAAGAAGAAGTCGTTTAAAGTAAAAATATTGACGCCGGACGGACGCCGCGCCATGGCATAAGCTCACTTGGCACTTCGTGCCAGGTGAGCTAATAAAAATAATTCAATATTTTCCCAATAATTAAAAGTAACAGGCTGTTGCAAAATTAAGAAATAAAACATTGTGCAGATAAATAAATATATCATAAAATGCTATGTGTTAAAACACATGATACATATGTATGATACAAATGTAATTTTCGTGGTAGAACCACAATTTTTTTTTAGAATTGTAATATTATACAGGTGTTATTCTGTGATCTTGAACTTGACCATTGAAATCCACAAATCTAAATGATCAGACCAAAATATTTATATATGAGGTGTCTTATAATACATGTACATCATCATTGATTATAAAATATTCTGTTCTGATTAAGAAAACTATTTCCACAAGTTTTAGGATGGACAGACGGATGGACGGACTGAAGACCAATAGACATATTAAAACTGATATGTCCCCACTTGTTTGTTTTTTGTCAGACAGACCTGAGTCAGGTGTTGTCTATTTTAATATGGTACAATTGAACTCAACAAGGGAGCTAACTCTTTCAAACTTGCAGAAATTGACCAGTTATATAATGGAGAAAATACTATATGTGTTATTTGCATAGTACATCATTCCCTCCGAATCCTCAAATAAACAGTTTCATAAGATAAAGAATTTAAACTGTTCAAGGCCAGATAATATAATAATTTAATTAATTTTATTATTGAAAAATATGTCTGAAAATATTATTTTAAGAAATAACACTTACAGATTCACATGTTTTTCCCCTGTCAGTAGGTAATCCTTTAGAACCTCTACAGATAGCATAAGGTGTTGACACAAGGCTTATTTTAATTGTATGGAAATGCGTCTATGATATGAGAAGTTTTCTGTTAAGCCAAAGTTATCTCCCTTGTTTAATGTTTACACGAGCGTTACCTGTCCGGAGACCAGCGATGTAGGCGGAGCTGTTTAGGTCGATGTAGTCGACATACGTCATCACCTCCACCTCGTTGGTTTTCTTATTCTTGATACCGTATGTCTGACAAAAAACATGGCACAATAACATATCATATAAACCAAACAAACTCTCCGAAGATTCATATAAAATTAATGGGGTAATATGCAAATTAAACAAACACATTTTAAACATGTATAAATGGTGAAATAAAAAATTATCATTAACCAATGAAAATATTGGTTTCTACATTTGATATGTACTACAACTTGTTAAGTTCTAAAACTTTATGCAGTTTGGTGAAGATGAGGTGAAGATGAGAATTAATAGTAATGCGGTGTAAAGTTGTGAAGACTTAAGAAAATCATCAGTGAATCAGATTGGAAGATATGACCTTAAAAGACTGATCTTTTCATGTGATGGAGCTTAAGTAAAAAAACCTAAGTGTCTTTTTCAAAATAACAACAACAGTTTTGAAAATGCAATTAGAAATCTGAAAGTTATCAAGCACTAAAAGACATCATGCAGCTTAGATCTAGAGTATATACCGGAATATTTTCGCCCCATCAAACTTTCACCCTTCACCAAAAAAATCTGTATTTGCTTATACAAAGTAATTTTAATTTCGCCCTAAACAATTATTATGTACATTATACTGTTTACTAATGTTTGCTATTATGTCACATTTGCCCTCATTGCAGAGGGCAAAAATGGTGAAAATAAAACTGCACCAAAAAATTCCTTGTTTTCATTAATTGAAAGAATGAGCCTTGACCTTGACATTTGACAGGTTGACCTAAAAAGGTCAAGTGACTAGCTCTTCCTGACGTTTGGTGAAGATGACATTGCTTATTGTGAATGGCTTTACAGAGAGGAAATACAAACCTGCAGGGTGAAACCCCAAGACTGATTGTTTTTATGGAGTAGTAGTGTCCGGCGTTTGCGGTTGTCCTCCGGTTCACTCAGGATTGACCGCTCTGCATCAAGTTGGTTGAGGTCAGCCCCAAGAGAGCTGGTTTGATGCAGCATCAACTGTCAACAGCAATGTCAACAAATTATGTCAGGTAACCATCAACTGTCAACAGCAATGTCAACAAATCAGGTCAGGTTTACCATCAACTTTCAACAGCAATGTCAACAAAGTATGTCAGGTTTACCATCAACTGTCAACAGCAATGTCAGCATATTATGTCAGGTTTAGCATCAACTGTCAACAGCAATGTCAACAAATTATGTCAGGTAACCATTAACTGTCAACAGCAATGTCAAGGAATTATGTCAGGTAACCATTAACTGTCAACAGCAATGTTTATAAATGATGTCAGGTTTACCATCAACGGTCATCAGCAATGTCAACAAATTATGTCAGATTTACCATCAACTGTCAACCGCAATGTCAACAAATGATGGCAGGTTTACCATCAACTATCAACAGCAATGTCAACAAATGTCACATTTATCATCAACAGTCAACAGCAAGGTTAACAAATGATGTCACATTTACCATCAACCGTGAACAGCAATTTCAACAAATTATGTCAGGTTAACCATCAACTGTCAACCGCAATGTCAACAAATGATGTCAGGTTTACCATCAAATGTCAACAGCAATGTCAACTAATTATGTTAGGTTTATCATCAACTGGCAAGTGTCCGGCGTTTGCGGTTGTCCTCCGGTTCACTCAGGATTGACCGCTCTGCATCATGTTGGTTGAGGTCAGCCCCAAGAGAGCTGGTTTGATGCAGCATCACCTGTCACCAGCAATGTCAACCAATTATGTCAGGTTTACCATCAAATGTCAACAGCAATGTCAACAAAGTATGTCAGGTTTACCATCAACGGTCATCAGCAATGTCAACAAATTATGTCGGGTTTATCATTAACTGTCAACAGCAATGTCAACTAATTATGTCAGGTTTATTATCAACTGGCAACAGCAATATCAACACAAATTATGTCAGGTTTAGCATCAACTATCAACCGCAATGTTAACAAATGATGTCACATTTACCATCAACTGTGAACAGCAATTTCAACAAATTATGTCAGGTTAACCATCAACGGTCAACAGCAATGTCAACAAAGTATGTCATGTTTAGCATCAGCTGGCAACAGCAATGTCAACAAACCAGGTCAGGTTTACCATCAACTTTCAACAGCAAAGTCAACAAATGTCACATTTATCATCAACAGTCAACAGCAAGGTTAACAAATGATGTCACATTTACCATCAACCGTGAACAGCAATTTCAACAAATTATGTCAGGTTTACCATCAAATTTCAACAGCAATGTCAACAAAGTATGTCATGTTTAGCATCAGCTGGCAACAGCAATGTCAACAAATTATGTCGGGTTTATCATTAACTGTCAACAGCAATGTCAGGTTTAGCATCAACTATCAACAGCAATGTCAACAAAGTATGTCATGTTTAGCATCAGCTGGCAACAGCAATGTCAACAAATCATGTCAGGTTTACCATCAACGGTCATCAGCAATGTCAACAAATTATGTCGGGTTTATCATCAACTGTCAACAGCAAAGTCAACAGTTGATGTCAGGTTTACCATCAACTGTCAACAGCAATGTCAACTAATTATGTCAGGTTTATCATCAACTGGCAACAGCAATGTCAACACAAATTATGTCAGGTTTACTTGTTGTAAATTTGTTGGTTTGAGATTTGAGACCTTCTACTTTGAGAGATATGTCATTCTTTGTGAAACTATCAAGTTTTTGATACCATCTGCCTTGAGCAACCTTCTTTCTTTGACACCAGCTGACTCAGAGGAATTAACACCATAAGTTGAGACTCTTAAATATTTTCAGATCACCATTAGATCTATGTCAGGCCACATGATTTGGGATACCTGCCCTGACATAACCTAACTTTCAGATCTTGTACCTGATATTTGCAATTTATTTCCTTTTTCCTATACATGTCAAATTTGGCCCTATAATAAGCACAAGTTAACTTGTTATGTAATGAGAGGCCCTGCTAGTGCATATGACCTGAGGTTGAGAGAGTGGTAGTACCAGCTGCAGGCCCTCCTGTCAGGTGATATATATATCATAAAGTACTGGGGCAGCCTGTCCTGTAGTAATTGACCCTGTACTGGAGTAAGACACCACTTGATACTGACTTTAGTTGTAAAACAACTCATTAGCATATTCAAACAAAATCAGCCATTAGCATTTTTCACTTACATATTTTATTGGGGTCAGTTTTAATCTCATACATTACATACACGTACCATATTCGACCAAATAAATGCTCCACTCCTTAAATATATATGCACTTCCACACATTTTCTGGTCTGCCCATCCCTTCCCATATCCCTTCACTGTAATTATTATTAAGGAGCAGTCCTTTATGAGTTTTTTTTGTATTTAGATCTTTAATTAAGATCCTGCAATGTTATTCGTATTTTACCATATGACTAATCAAGGATCCCTGTCCCAGTACTGCACTTTGGTATTTCATAAATACAGTAGCCTCCCCTTAACTTCCTTTTGGATACCTGGTATGTATCACATTTAATTTGGGCCAGGACACATTCATTGACCAGATACTTCAGCTAGCTCAGTCGGTTAAAGCAATAGTGTTAAAATGTGAAATCCAGGGTTTGAATACTCACAGGGCTTAAGCCCCACTGCAGTTTTACACTCAGAGACTGTTGTTGATTATATTTTTTCGTCTTTATTATTTTTTTGTAAAAGTATTGCTATTAGGTAAGGTTTTCTTTACAGAACTTACTAAATGATCAAAGCTAGTATTATTTAGTCATTTTGAAACAAAGCAGATCCAGATTAATAGTTACAGTTTTTGTAGTAGTGGTACGAGGATCCTTAAATACCAGTTCGGCACTTCGTAGAATACGATCTAAATTGTATAACACATGCATTGTAATTTACAAAGACAACTGATTTCCTATCCATCCTATACAGTACAGTGGAGCTTGTAACGACCAACAAGAATATCTTACTACTCAGATTCGACCCAAGCAGTTAATTACATATGCATGCTGTACGTAGGTTCTTTGTCTCGATCAATGCTTCTAAGGAATCCACAGACCACTGCTAAAAACTCTATAACTATACATGTAAAGTGGCGGATCCAGAGACCTATCTAAGGGGGTTTCCAAATTTCCTGGGGGGGTTTCCAAGTGGGACAAAATTGAGGAAAATGGTGAAAATACATGATTTTTAAAGAAACTTCTCAGGCTGGGGGGGTTTCCTGAAGCCCAATAAACCCCTCTGGATCTGCCACTGATGTACCTATGTGGAACATTTCTTAGAGGCATGAAAATAGCTTTATTAATAAATCATTTTTAATTAGAAAACATTTCAAACTTTGACACAAAAAAGAATTAAGATGAAAACAAAATATATGACTGGGCGAAAGTTGCGTGGAATACAGTATGCACATGAGACCCGTATATAAAAAAGAAACAACCAATATCTTATAATTGACTTCTGAAACACCTAGCAATCTTAATAAAATAATTCAGTCTGTTAAAAAGTATGTATACAGTTGCATGACAAAGATTTCTTATGAGGCTCATTTGTTGTCCCGTCGCGCGTTATGACCCTCTTTTTTATTTTCAAAAGAGGGTCATCACCCACTTTTAGTATATCCAGGGTTGGCAGGTATGATGAGGGCTATTCCATAATTATCGTATGGGGGACGTGGGAGGTTGGAGACACCTGTAAAATATATTATGGTTGGTGGGGTTAAAACAAGGTTTGCCTTCCTTTACTTATATTAAATCATGATCACTTTTGAGATTTTATGGGCTGTTGGGTCTATGAAGAAGTGCCCCTCCCGTACCGTTCCTTCAGGACCAGCCCCGACATGAAAATCTGGACATCATACCACTAAGCCGCCATATACCTAAAATAGGCTTAGTGTTTCAGTACTGGAGTATTATAGGCTTCACATTTAGCTAAGGAGAAGTACAGATACATGTACGTGTTCCATAAGGTTTGTTAATAATACATAATCCATTGTCTGACTCAACTTCTAGGGACAGAACGTAGAATCTATATCACGATCGGTGGACACGGAAATGACATTATCCAAACCCAAGCGACAGAAGCATATATACAGCAGGTCATTTTCACACCATAACATATGTTTGTACATGTATGTTATATTGTAGTAATTTTAAGCATGGTACATTATAAATCCGAATACAGATATATATATATCTTCAAGCAATGCATTGCATCAGGCAAATTGTCTCTGAATATATAATTAGTACAGTACTTCATATTGTACAGTAAAACTTGTGTATAAAATCTGCTTGCCTTTCACAAATCATAAGTGTTTCTTTCCATGTAATTCTTAAACCTGTCTCTATAAAGACAACCTGTCTATATATTCGCACTGCTCGCTCTCTACATTGGGTGTAGATCTACGTCTAGATCTGTTGACGTGACATATCATACAATTGTAATGACATTAAGGAAATCCCCCCATTAATAGTGTGGATATCTCAAGCTCTGTCTAATGGGAAAGTGAAAATCACTGTGTCTATCTAGGGAAAGACGGCTCATATATATAATATATATAAAAAATTAAATTGAAGAGACAGAAAAATGATAAAAAAAAATTAACAAGAGGCCCATGGGACTTAACGGTCACCTGAGTCCTACAGTATTAATTTCTGTTGTTGAAATATGAAGTGGAGATAATGATGTCAATCATCCTTACCAAAATTTGAGTAAAAAATAGTTAAGTATAACGTTAAGTTAAGTTTGTCAGGACAATGAGTTGATCATTCATAGACCAAGTTTCAGTTAAATAGGCCTATTAGAACTTGATCTTAAGTTTTAAATATTTTTTTCCCAAAATGGCAGCCATTGCGGCCGTATTGGATTTTTAATCGACCTGAAAAAAATTTAAAAAAAATGAGTGAATCATTCCTACCAAGTTTCAGTTAAATGGGCCCAGTAACTCTTGACTTTAAGTTTGAAATAGTTTTTCAAAATGGCAGCTGTGGTGACCATATTGGATTTCTGATTGACC